ATGTGGAGTTTCAGCACCTGAGCACCGGGAAGTGGCAGATGGACCCAGAGAAGTGAGAGAAGTGAGCGGGTGCTGAGGCGGGTGCTGCATGCCTGTGTCACGGCTGTCCACCTCGGTCCTGCGGGCTCTCTGAGCAGGTGCTGTACCAGGCACTGGCTGGCCCTGCAGGGCTCAGGGCGTGCATGGCCTGGAACCTTTAATTGAATGGCCTCATAGGAGCTGGAGCTTGACTTGGGATCAGCCCACGGTCCCTCTTCTGAAAGCGCTGACGACTTGTCATTACTTTTTTACGCAGGAGAGAATAATGCCTGGCTTGGGTTCTGCAAAGATCATGGCGCTCCGCATGGCAGATGGGTGGGGATGGGAGAGGGACTGAAGTGGGGTGCCGGGCCGAGGAGGAGACCGGGGAAGACGCCACAGGAGAGCTGGTGGGATCTGGGAGCAGAGCCAGAGCTGGGAGGAGGGAGAGGTGTGGCCGAGTGACAGGGTGGGTGTGTGCTGCTTTCCGGGGACACAGGTGCAGGAGCCGTGGGTGTGGGGGTGTGGGTGCAGCTGGGGAGCCTGGTTCTGGCGTTCCAGGCTCAGGAGTCGTGTGCTGAGACCCTTAATCCGCAGCATGACTGTGTTCGGAGACAGGGCCTCTAGGGAAGTAATGAGGTTAGATGAGACCGTGTGGGTGGCCTGACCCGGCGGGATCGAGTGTGTCCCCACCACTCCGCGCACGAGTGCCAAGGGAAGGCCATGTGATGGCGTGGTGACAAGGTGACCAGGCAGAGAGCTCTCGCCAGAAACCAAACTGACCAAAACCTTGACGTTGGACTTCCAGCCTCCAGCGCCGTGAGACAGGAAATGCCTGCTGTGTGAACCGCCCGGTCTATGGCGTTCTGTCGCGGCAGCCCAGTGGACGGAGACAGCAGGCTACAGCCAGAGTCTGAGGGAAGCCGCAGGCCAACTGCAACGAGTGGCCTGGGTGCAAGGGGGACAGGTGTGGACATCACCAGGGTTCAGGTTGAAGCTGAAGCTGTGGGAGTGGTAATAATCAACAGCGGAAGGTTCTAGAATAAGAGTACGAAGGCTGAAGACGACCCCGAGAAGGGGCAGCAGGACACATGGAGCAGCCAGACAGGTGGAGGAGAGCAGAGGCGGGGTGAGGGGCAGACAGGCGGCGGGGCTGGCAGGGCCACAGCCTCACACCGCGGCCGCAGGGACTCACCATCTGCCTTTTTACAGCAGTAGGGGTCCTTGCCATGAAGGCGCGAGGCTGATGGGCTCTGCCCCGAAACTCCCTGCTGGAAGGACTCGAAGGCCGGCCCTCCCAGGTGGCACTTCCCACGTTCTTGCCGCTGGACGGGGTTAAACGCTTCATGAGCCCTGGAGTGGCTCTGAGCGGGGTCTGCCTCCTGCCATGTCTGTCCCCACGCCCCACCCTGTGAACACAGCAATGATCTCTCTTCTCAGCCAGGTCGTGGGGGGGCCAGTGCGCAGCTGGGGTGTAAACCCGGGCCTGTCGGGCGGCCTGCAAGGTTTGGGTGCAGAGGAAGCTGGGTGGCCCCAGGGGAAGGTGCTGTTTCGGTCCCAGGTGCCACGCAGGGAGCGTCCGTGATCACTCCTCCCGGTCACGCCAGTGCGATGAGGTCAGTATTATTTTCTCCATTTACAACTGGGAAACCAAGGCTCAGAGAGACACGAGACCCCCAAGTCCACGCAGCGGGACGTGCTGGGATTCACCAGGCCTGGTCCCGTTCCAGAGTCTGCTCTGTTTTCACGGGATCTGCGGCCGCTGGGTGCAGAACCTGACACGGACCCTGGGGCAGCAATGCCTCAGAACACCCAGCTCCTTCCTAACCTGTTGCAGGCCCAGGCAAAAGTCCCGCTGACACCTAGCCATGGCTGGCATCCTCACAGCTGTCCCCAGAGCACGTCCGGGTGTCTGGCTGTTAGCATGTCAGCACCGGGCACAGTGCTGTCATGTCACGGGTGCTTCAGCGAGGCCAGCTGAGTGGTCTGGACAGATGAACTAATGAGCAGAGCCCCCACCCCACCCCCAGCTCACACTGTGTGCCCCACGTGGCTGGGCAAAGCTTTGCCTTCACAGAGATCTTACAGGGAACTGAAATTCTATAACCTGGGGAGGCTCCGAAACGGGGAACATCATGAACTTTGAAGTCAGACACGTACGGACCGGAATCCTAGTTCTCCACGTCCCACACTGCTGTGTGACCTTGGGCAAGTTGCTTTGCCCCTCTGAGTATCAGGTTCCTCATCTATGAAACAGCAGCCCTTGAACAGTTGGGGCATTGAATAATTGAAGCCATATTTTTCAAGCCAGTGTTTAGCTATGGAGACACTCTTAAAAGAAGGCTTATAAGGAGTAGAAGGGAGAGAGTGGAGGCGGGGTGAGAGCCCTCCCTGCTAGACATCCCCGCCCTCCTCTGTGGTCCTGGGGTACCTGCGTCTTTGAATGACACTGCTAGGAAACCCTGAGATGACGCACATAAAGCTTCTGGCACCCAGTAGACGCTCAGAGAATGTTAAACACATTTCTTCCCCAGTGAACTCCACCACACAGATCTGTCTTCTCTTTCACACTTAGAGACAACCCCTCAAATATCTGAGCGCAGTTCTCGAGTCTCCGGAGGCCACCCCCAGCCCTGAGTAAGCATCCAGAGTCCTCAGCGCTTCTCAGAGGGACCGGCTTAAACCCTCCGAGGTCCCAGAGCTAAGCTCCCCTCCGATGCCTGATCGGAGCAGAATGAAACACGACTGGCTCCCTGGGATAAAGCCCAGTCGCGAATTTTCAAACCTGAAAGCAGGACTCGATGTTAATGCCCCCTCGACCACCTGCTATGACTGCAGCCACAGCTCTGCCCGCGAAGGCCCTTCCCACTCTGCCCCAGCACCGTCCTCCCCTTCACGCTCGCACAGCCAGGGGCAAACACGGACGGGTGACGTGGGGTCGCTCCTCCCACTTCTCGGACAGCCATAGCGTTTCGGAAACCCCGAGGCACTTTGCATCCAGACAGCTCCCATTTTCAAAGTGGTGAGTGACAGACTGGGACCCGACTTGAGGTCTCCTCTTCCCGTGGTACTCTGCCCCGCCCACGGCTGCTCAGGTCGACTCACGCGCCAGGACGGCCCGTACGTGCCACCGCCCGAGAGCTGGCTCACCAGCTCCCCACTGGTTGCTTTGCAATCCCCAGCCTTCCTTTTCACATTTTTTAAACCTAACCATCTTTGCAGGACCCTGTGATCTAGGTTTTGTTATTATCTCCACTCACAGATGAGAAAGCAGAGACCAAGAAGGAAGGACGACCAGGATCTGCACTCTGCCTCGTTTACCGGTGTCTCTGCCTGCTGTTCCGCCTCACCTGCATGGGCTCCCTGTCCTGAGAACAGGACAGCTGTCCTCTCTACCCTAGACGACATGGTGGGGTGACAGCGTCAGCGTCAGAAATGTGTGCGATCCCCGTTAGGCGTTGAGTCGTGTCCTTCTGAAAGACACGCTGAAGTTCTAAGTCCCGGGACTTGGAGGTAAATTAAACCCTGGCCGAACAGGAGGAGGTTGGAGCCCCAGTCCAATATGGTGCCGTCCTTACGGGACAAGCAGACACACAGGAATGAGACCCACGACAGAGGCAGAGGCTGGAGTGACGCAGCTCTAAGCCAAGGAGAGCCAAGGACTGACAGCCACACCGGAAGCTAGGACGAGGCCCAGAGTCTTAGAAGGAGCGTGGCTCTGCTGACAACTTAATTCCAGGCTTCCGGCCTCTAGACAGAGAGCATCCACTTCCCGTGCTTGAAGCTGGCACTTTAAGGCAGCCCTGGGCAAACAGCACACTTCCTGTGCCCCCAGCGTGGAAGCAGAGTACCTGTCTTAGAATAGGAAGACCCTCTGGGACACGGGGTGCTGGGAGCTGGGCTGAGCCATGCTGAAGGCCTTTCCCCTCGCTCCCGCCTCTGGTCTCTGGGAAGCAGCCAGCCCTTCTGAGGGCTTAAGGCTCACCCCCACCTCGGCCCCCCAGAAAGGAAGGCGGCTGCCCTCTGTTCTCGCTGGCTGTTTCAGGCAACGGTCCTTCAACCCCTGCTAGTTCCCTCCCCTCTCACCACTAGGGTGCAAGTCCCCTGAAGCCCAGACCAGATGCGTCTGCCCCCCTCCCCCTCCGTGGCCGCCGTGTCTGTCACCTAACAGGAGCTTAATTGCTTGTGCGAGGCTTCTGCTTCCCTTTCCATGGGGATCGGCATAGCGGTCACTGGCCAACAGGAGGCCTACTCCTTCAACCCCTGCTAGTTCCCTCCCCTCTCACCACTAGGGTGCAAGTCCCCTGAAGCCCAGACCAGATGCGTCTGCCCCCCTCCCCCTCCGTGGCCGCCGTGTCTGTCACCTAACAGGAGCTTAATTGCTTGTGCGAGGCTTCTGCTTCCCTTTCCATGGGGATCGGCATAGCGGTCACTGGCCAACAGGAGGCCTACAGGATGTGGAGGGGACAGTGCTGCTATCTCTGGGCCCCAGTTCGTGGTTCCTTTAACACCTGTTCCCACCAATGGACAGGGTCCTTCCCTGTGTCCTCGATAGGCACCAACAATGGAGTGTGTCTTTCCTAGCCATAGGCAGAGTTATTCGTTCATCACCAAGATACCCAAATAGTCACTTGCAAAACTACTATCTCCAGTCTAAATATTTCACAGCAAGGCTCAGAAAATATGGGGGACCTCCTGAAACGGGGCGGGTCTGAACTGAGGACAGAGCTGATGTCTGTCCTGCAGCTGAGTACACAGCATTGACAAAGGTCCACCTCGGAGAACCCTAACCAACCTGGAAGGCCACGTGAGCGGAGAAAGAGGCCGGGGCGTGGGCGGCCCAGTGTCATGCCCGAGGAAGGAAAGACAGCGCAGGGCAGACCAGGGTTTGAACCCAGGGCTTTCTGACCCCAAATCCAGGCCTCAAGTCTCTGACTCAGGCTCCCAAGGTGAAGTTCACCTGGCTCCCCAAGGGCAGTTACCTTCATAGGAAGCCTTAAATCCCAGGGAGCTGCCACTGCCATCGGTCTGGAAGAGGAGCCACATCTGATGGTTGGTGCTGACGATGAGGTCTGGGACCGATGTACCCGTCAGGCTGTGGGGAGAGAGGCAGTGAGAGGTGTCAGCCGCCATGGCACCCGGATGGAAAGGCCGCTCGACCGAGGACATCCAAGGCTCCCTCAGAGGAGCCAGTGCCGGGCCCCACAGTTTCTGAGCTTAGAACCCAGAGCAGGAGCCCCACGGCCTGGGCAAATACAGCCCCTCTGCCCTGGCCACGGGCAGCATGAATCTCAGCTCTGACTCCCCTAGTCCTGCCAGATCCCGAGCTCAGGAGGAAGAGCTGTGTCCTCACTGCCCTGGGACATGGAGAGCTGGAGCCGAATGCAATCACGGGGATGTCTACACTCACAACCTTTGCCCTCTTGCGTGAACTGCACCATGGAGAGACATGCGCTGGAGTCCATTTCTGCTGCAGTCAGAACCCAGAACATCCTTTTTATTGAGACACATCCTTCCATTCCAGTAAGAGAAGCCCGGCTTTCCGACTCACCCCCTCTGACTCCACACCTGTCCAGCTCAGACACTGTGCTGGCCAACTTCCCATCCACTGCCTCACTAAATTCCTCTACAGCCAGGGAGGCGGGCGCCAACGGGGAGTCGGTGGTGCAGAACGGGCAGTGGCTTTCCCAAGGTCAGCTTGACACAGAGCAGCAGGTCCAGGCTGGGGTTTCTAGAAGGGCCCTGCCTCTGTCCTTCTCTCTCCTTTTTTTTTGGAGAGGTTTTTGCCTTAGAAGGGCCCTGGCTCTGTCCTTCTCTCTCCTTTTTTTTTTGGAGAGATTTTCGCTATAGGGCACGTGCACTCGCCAGACAGACAGAGACATAGAGACAGAAAGCGAGAAATCACCCCCCAGGGGGGATGGTCATGCCTCAATCCCTTCTCCTCCACTCTCCTCTTGGGATCTTGGGCACGCACGCACACGCGCCGGGCGTGAGTTTTAAGCCACTGGGTCTGGGACGCAAACCGCGGTCGACTACGTGGGAGTCCAGCGACATAGCCATTACGCTAACTGCTGGTTCCCTGTCCTTCTCTTGAAAGTAGAAGAATCTCAAGCGTAGATGGGGCAGTGGGTCCTAGAGGGGGTGACTGAATGAATGGACCTTAATCTCTGCCCCACCCCTGAGCCTCTGAGTCTCAAAGCATGGCGGGTACTGAGTTGGCTGCAGCGATGATCATGACCTGCAGCCCCTTGGAGGTGGAGCTGGATACACCCGACCAGCCCGTGTGGCATCTCTGTGTTTGGGGAACTGACTGCGTGATGAGTAAGGACTGGCCCCTGGCCAGTGCTGGCTCCCAACTAAGTGAGACAGAAAACCGAGGCCTCTGCTCTCCCTGTTTGACCTAATTACGACAATGAAGGAATCCAACCGCTTTGCATGTGTTTCCCTGAAGGTTGGAGATCAAGATGAACCTAGTGATCTGTGTGGTGGAGAAGCCCTGGGCTGCTGGAGGACTTTCTGGGAGCCCCCTCTACACCTACTCGGAGATCTGGGTCGAAGCCCGGCTCTGCTTCGGGACCTTGGTGAAGTAGTTGAGCCTCTCTGGGTTTTTTTATTCCAGTTTAAATTTGAGGATTGTGTTATATGACACCCACGAATCCTTTTTGCTTTGGTGCTCTAAGGTGTTCTTTATGACAACGATGGGGTCATGGGAGGCGAGGAGGCTGGGACTGTGGCATCTTGAGCCCACCAGGCTGGGGTGCAAACTGGCCAGCAAACCAGGACTGAAGGTGGGGAGGGGTGCGCTGGGACAAGGGCAGGTGGATGCGAGAGGTAGTTTATCTGTCAACTTGACTGGACCACAGGTTGCCCAGATATTTGGTCAAACATTACCCTGGGCATTTCTCTGATGGTATATTTGGATGAGATTAACCTTAAACCAATAGACTGAGAAAGCAGCTTGGCCTCCCTTAAAGTGACACACCTCGTCCAATCAGTTAAGAGACCAAGTGAACGAAAAGAACCAACAGAACAGAAGGCAGACGTTCTTCTGAGTGAGAAAGAGCCCTTCCTGTCCAGTTGCCTTTAAACTGGGACAGCAGCTTCTTTTCGGCTTTCAGACTGGAACGGAAATATCGGCTCTCCCTAGGTCTCAGGCCTACCAGCCTCTGGACTGAGCTACAACAGACTCCTGGTCTCTAGCTTGCCAGCTCAGATCTGGGACCTGTCAGCCTCCAAAATCACAGGAGGCAGCTGTGAGTCCTCCCAGCACGGCTCACGTGAGACAGCCAGTCGAGCCACTCCTTGTAACAGATCTTTTTACCTGTCTGTATCCGTCCCTAGCTATCTACCTATCTAGCATCTAACTCTTTCTCTCTGTCATCTATCTGTCTGTCTGTCTATCTATCATCTATCTATCTATCTATCTATCTATCTATCTATCTATCTATCTATCTATCTATCTATCTACCTATCTATCTATCTATTTAATCACCTATCTATCTATCTAATCATCTATCAATCTATATCTATCATTTATCTATCATCTATCTATCTATCTATCTATCTATCTATCTATCTATCTATCTATCTATTTACCTATCTGTCTATCTATCTAATCATCTATCAATCTATATCTATCATTTATCTATCATCTATCTATCTATCTATCTATCTATCTATCTATCAATCATCTATCTATCTACCACCTACCTATCTCCTATTGGCTGTTTCTCTGAAGAACTCTAATATAGTGAAGTAGACTTGGGAGGGGTTGGGGGAGGGTGGCCTTTGGGCTCACACTCCGTTCCTTTGCCTGGAGAGACCCCCAATCCTAACCATGTCACCTGACTCAGGGGTACCAGGTGAGTTGGGTCATTCAACTGCTCAGATAGCAGCATCTGCAGGTAGATGTGGGAAGGAAGAGAAGCCCTCAGAATAGAACAGCCCCTGGACAAGCCATTGTCCAGAATGACCATTTCTCACTAGGACTGAAACCACAGGGTGAAAGCCTCCAGCTGGCCTGGTTAGGAACAGTTGTGGCCTGGGACACGACCCTTGACTGAAACCAAAAGATATGAACTTGGATGCTGGTTCTGCTACCAACTACCTCTGGGCTCAGTCTCCCTCCTCCCAGGGCCATTACGAGATTAAGAGGGAACTGATGCAAAGTTCCTGTCCCAGGGATGGGTTGCGTGGTAGGTGCCCTAAGTACTGACTTTGCCTCTCCCTGGAGGGTAGACGGTGCGGTCAGGCCTGTCTGTCTGTGAAGCAGGCCACGTGACTGATCAGGGGCAGTTCCCGGCTTTTACACCAGGATAACGGTTGTAGGCAAAGGTGGAGTTAAAAGGTCCCCAAGACCAAAGCTTCGCCCTAGTGGAATCCCAGCACGGCCTACACCACGTCGCGCTGGTCTTTGTCGGCTCGGGAACTGTGGTCACCATGTCTATATGGCTCCAGTTCTCTGAGACCATCCATTGCCCAGATAGCTCTGAGCGTGCGGGAAAGGTGACGAGACATTTCCATAGTGTGCGTGAAGTCCAGAGTAAAACCTACTGGTTGGCTCCGAGGCCCGCCCAGTGGAAGGCTCTAGTCTTACACACAAACCGCACTTCCCCGCCCATTCTCTATTTTCCTTGTGAATCCCCAGTGCAAACGTGGCCCACTTTTTGCCTTGGCTGGAGTCGAGGGGCAGGGCTGCTGCTGAGACCAGGAACGCTACAGGACACTGCCCTTGATGAAGCATGATCTGGGCCCAGGCAGGTGAGCCCCTCCTGACACCCATGCTGAAGGCCACATGCCACCCTGCCCTCCGGACCACACCAACACTTCACTTACACGTAGAGAACCGTCTTCTGGTCTCCATCCTGCCCACCGTCGCCCACTGTCAGGGTGTCGTAGCCCCTCTCCAAATCAAACTCCTCAAAGGCGAGCTTGATCACCTGGGGAGGGAGCACAGGGTGAGGGGCGGGCAGGGGCTGCGGGAGGGCTTCCAAAGCCCAGAGTCACTGGTGACACTGCCCTCCACAGACGGATCTTTTCTGAGCCACTTTTCTCAGCACATGCCATTTCTCATTTCTCTCAGGCCACAGAGTCTCCGGGGCCCCCTGGTGTTTCTGAAGATGGTCACGGCACGTCTGGCCAGCCCAGGGACTTTACAGCAACCCCGGGCCCATCTGGCTGCTACGAGCTGATAGGATTCTTTCTTCATGGTTTAATGCACAGAAGTCCCTGTGTGCTTGGTGGCAATTTTTCAGGCCACATGTGGAATCTCATCTCTCTTGCCCCCAGGGACTTATGGAGGTTTCGCTCAGCTTTTCCTCTGCCTGCCTTTTCCATCCTTTTTGCTTGTTTGTTGACTAAATGAATGTTTTCAGAAGGAGATTGTGACAGGGTCCCTCCCTTTTAACTTGTTTCGGCCCTGCCTTCCACACATATTTGCTAACCCTTCCTGGTACGCCTGGCTGGGAGGTGGGGCTCGGCAGTGAGCAAAGAGCAGAGAGGAGCCCGCAGCGCACCCCGACAGCCGTGGGGGAGGAGGGAGGCTGCACATGATGGTGGAGCCTGAGTGAATCCCAGACGGTATGGAAGACTCCATCAGGGAGCAGAGAGGAGCCCGCAGCGCACCCCGTCAGCCGTGGGGGAGGAGGGAGGCTGCATATGATGGTGGAGCCTGAATGAATCCCAGACGGTATGGAAGACTCCATCAGGCCCAAGGGGTATGCTGGGTGAGGGAGGGGCACGCTCTGACAGGGAGCCAGGTGCACAGGGGCACAGGGGCTGATCTGCAGCAGAGATGGAACGTTCCAGAATAAGTGTTTATGGACAGTCTACAGACTGCGAGTACCTGCTAGCTGCCTCACTCTGGAGGAAATGCGGGGTGGGGGGTCTTCAGTGCAAGGAGGTAAACTAGGACGGTCCAGACTTGAGAAGGTTGCCTGGAGCGTGGCCCAAAAGGTCTCATGTCCCTCTCCCCAGAAGAATAAAGGTTCACCCCTGGAGGCGTGGCAGAGGAGTTCTGAGTAGCAGGTGTCAGGGTGGCGGGGACACACAGACGTTTGAGCAAGCATCACCCTGGCTGGTCGTGTGGGCCCGATCGGCGGAAATGAGGTCAGAAGTGAGGGCCGCTCCAGGCTCCGGTGGCAGGAGCAGGTGAGCGACGAGCGTGCAGGGGAGGCCAGGTCCTAGCAGTCTGAGGGCTGTGACTGGGTGGATGTGGGGCTGTGAGCCATACGACAACTTGCCAGGTCCTGGCGTAGGCAGTGCGGTGTGTGTGGGGTGCCACTAGTGAAGGCAGGACACGCAGAGCACCCACTTGGAATTGCTAATCTGGGTCTCCGATTTCCGTGTGAATCTGGTTGCAAGCCCACGATGACCTGCCCTCCTCTCTATGCTACGACTCCAGGAGTACGGGTTCCCGCGGGCGTTTTCTCCTTTTCCTAGTTGCAACTGATGCTCTCTGCAGATGTCCTCCAGCCGAACCCAAGGGCCTGGCCCCCACCTGCTGCCAGGACCCTGCAGAGCCTCACCCCAAGGTTCTTTCAGGTATCTCAGAGGCAAACAGCTGCTCCCTCAGTCAGGACCTGGGTACCTATGCAGGGGCCGAGTACAGGCACACGGTTCACAGGGAGGAACGTCTCTGAATAAGCACTTTGGTGGCTCAGTCTGCAGACAGACATGCAGAATGACTGTCATTGGCTAGGGGACAGGTTAAAGGTAGCCTCTTGGAGGAAATGAAGCCCTGAGTTTGGAGGAAGAACTGGAATTCAGTGGGTAGGGAAGGGAGGGCAGTCAGGCAGAGGGAAGATCAGAGGCCTAGGAAGGTACGGTTATCCAGAGACTTCTTCTGGAGTTCTTCACGTGGGGGTGGTGGGGGTGGTGGCAACATTAGAGAAACAGGAGGAGCCGGATTATAAAGGCTGCCCACCACGCTGAGGGTTTGCCAGAAAGGTAGTGGGGATTAGAGAGCCGTGAGTGAAGGCCTGGCACGGGACCTCTGCGTAGAGGTGGGGCAGACGGAGGCCGGACCACAGCATCATCCAAGCAGGACATGGGCCTGGGGCAGCCAGAGGGCATGTGGGTCTGTGAAAGGGGGTGCGACTCACTGTCGATAGTGAGGGGGGTTCTTGGCCCTTCCTCCCATCTAGAACGTTCCTCATTGGCTAATGACATCATCGCAGAGTCACTTCTCAGGCCAGACTTGCGTCCCCACCCTGGCCCTCCACTGTCCCTCCACACAGGGAGGGCCCCGTGCACCACTCACTGAGCACCTGCACGTGCTCGCCGGCACGAGGAAGGGCCCCGTACCTGCTTTCTGCTGACCTCCCCCTCCACTGCGCACACCTGTGTGGCCACCTGGCTCCTGGCGTCCCCAGCACGTGAGCCTACGCTCTCCCTCCCCGTCACTCTGCTGGCAGACCTCTCCTCACCCTTGAGCTCCCTCTCTGCCGGCCTGGACCGGGGGTGCTCCCTGCCCAGCCGCCCTCTCACCTACGTGTGGGTGCCTGCCTGCTGGGCGGGGGCTGGGGCTGATCTGCCTATTGTTCCTCGATGACTCCATGAGCTCCTGGAGGCCAGGGGTCAGGCCTCACTGCCTCTGGACCACCAGTGCTCGGTGCCAGCCCGGCACGGGGCAGGGCTCAGCACATGTCGAGTGGGAGGACATCTTCCCTCCGGCATGGAGGGGTTGCTAGCTCTCGGACACCTCATGGCAGTTACCATCTAGAACCAAGGGTGGCAGACTGTTTCCGCAAAGGGCCAGTAGTAAATCCGTAGATTGAATGCTCTCTGCTGGTGTGGCGTGAACTCCGCTGCACACTGCAGGGCGTGGCTTGTTCCAGCACAGTGTCACCTGCAAAGCCAGCAACAGCTGGGTTGGACCACAGACCCCAGCTTGCTGATCCTGGGTGTAGGAGATCGTTCGGGACACTTAACCACTCAGCCTGTGCTCATCCACTCTTACGGGACTTCTTCACCGCAAGACCCGACACCCACGCTGTGCTCGGCTCTGCTCTGAACACTCACACCTATGGGCTCATGGGAGACCCAAACGTAACCTCTTTGATTACTTTCATTTTGCAAACGAAAAAGCCCAGGCACAGAGATCCTAGGCAGCTTGCCTAGGGCCATGCAGCTAAGGGGTGGGGCTGCGAGTCGCAGCAGGGAGGCCGAGGCTGGGGCCTCCCCCGACCGCCCCCA